TGCAGTCCGTAGGTCTCAGCCTCCCGAGTAGCTAGGGTTACAGGTGTGAGGCACAAAAGCTCCCAGCAGATGTTACAGTCCTTAAGGGCTGTTTCAGGTCATGGCCAGCGATAATAGTGCTGCTTAATGAAGTAATTTTATGGCTAACGGAAGATTAAACCACCTTGGACACACTGTCTCTCTGTCACTGTCTCCCAGTCACTGGGACCTACTTTCTTCTCAGAGGCTCAGGGGAAGGGAGATAATCTGGGGAAAGCCCCTAAACACTCCAAGACTATCTTTCTAGAAGGTCTGACATAAGAGGGCTGTTCTGAGAGTCAAAGTGCTTGTGATGTGTGCCTGTCCCAGCATTTCTGGGAGGGACAACTCCCTTTTACTCAGCTTGTACGACATACACCTAATTCCAGGTCTTCTTGGTACAAACTATCATTACGGCTTACTGAAATACCGTTAGAAAGCAAAGAGATACCAGCTTCTTGAAAACAGAGCGTAAGACCAACTACACAAATCAAAATTAAACAGGGCTAGATATAGGCGCACATACCTGTAATTCCAGCTACTAGAGAGGATCAAGGGTCAAGGCTAGTAGTCTAGGCAAAAAGTTAGCCAGACATTCCTGCATTACTATCTCAACAAACAAGCCAGGGGTGGTGCACAGCTGTAATTTCAACTACTTGGGGGGTGGGGGGCAGAAATAGGAGAATTGAGGTATAAACTTGATATGACCCGATCTGATTTAAAAACAACCACAACAACTAAACTAAAAACAAAAAAAGTGCTGGAAGTGTGATTCAAGAGTTAAGAGTGCTTACCTAGCAAGTATAGAGTTAAGAGTGCTTACCTAGCAAGTATAAGGGTCCTAGTGCCTCCCCCCCAAAAAAAAAAAGATTAAATTACTTAGGTCTTGATAGACACAATTTCTATGTCAACAGAGTGGTTATAAAATCATGTTTCTTCAAACCAGTTTCTGCTGTGTCTACCGAGTATAGATGCAGGCGAGCATTTTCCCCCTGATGCTTAGTGTTCTGCAGATCTTTGTAATGGCATTGGAGGGCCCTCTGGAACAGCAGAGGGATCCAGCAGTGCTCAGAGGGCGCCAAGTGGCAACCCCTCCCTGTGTTTTTGTTGCTTCACGTCTTAGATGTAAAATTTCTCCTGAGAGTTTCATATAAACCACTCTCAGGTTTATTTGCTTTTTAATAACATGAAATTGCAACCAAAATTGGTTTGGCATTTTCTGTACCTATGAAGTTATATTTTTTTTAAAAGGTGAAACACTCGTTGAAAATACTTACCCAGATTAAATATTTCTCAAATAACGTCATAGGATAAACCAGACAATGGACTATAATTTTGTGCTTCGGTAATTGCTGCTGGTGTTCTTGTTAAAAATTTTTTTCTTTGACACAGGACTCATATTCTTTCTTTCTTTCTTTTTTTTTAACAAAATAAAACCTACCAAGAATGTTCTCTTCTTGCTTTCCTGATTTCTACATAATTGTGCTAATATACTAGCTAGGGCAGTTATATTTTAAATGGCATGTATATATTTAGCAGTATAATTATGCAAATTCTACCATGTTTGTGACTGTAAATATCCTTTGGGAGCAGTCACTTAGTATCTAGTTCTGAAACAGTTTTGGAAGGAATCTGGCTGAAATGTTCAGAATTCACTCCTGACTTTACTTACCTGTCCTGGGCAAATGTGGGGAGACTGGAATGTCCCCTATCTCTTAGTTACAAGGCACAATACTGCCCTGTAGAAACACATATACCCCTGGACATGAGGTAAAACTAATCTATCATTGGGCATTACACCCCAAGTCCTTGTGTGTGTGTGTGTGTGTGTGTGTGTGTACCTGTGCCAGTATTGGAGCTTGAACTCAGGGCTTAGGAACTGTCCTCTTAGCTTTTTTTTTTTTTTGACTCAACACTGGTACTCTACCATGTAAACCACAGCTCCGTTTTCAGTTTTTGGTTAAATGGAGATAATAATCTCACAGACTGTCCTGCCTGGGTTGGCTTTGAACTGTGTTCTTCAGCTCTCAGCCTGCTGGGTAGCTAGGATTACAGGTATCAACTACTGGTGCTCAGCAGCCCTGGGTTTTTTTTTTGAGACGAGGTTTCACCATGCAGCTTAGGCTGGTCTCTGATCCTCCTTCTTTGGCCTTCACCAGTTCTCAGATTACAAGCATGCACAACCCTGCCTGGCAAAAAGTAGACATTCTTCAATAGACTTTGATATAGTATGCTTCTTACCAGCTTTGTGATAGTGGAAAAGCTACTGAACCTCCCTGATCCTAAAATGGGGATGCACAGCACATGGTTGTGATGATGACTTCAATATGAGACTAATGGAAACACTTACCCTCATGTGTGTGCAGAAAAGGCCCCTGATATGTAGTAGCTGCCCCTCACACCACTGCTGGCCAGCCTAGTCCTTGCATTCAGCAGGGAGGACACAGACCATACTTTCTGTCCCTTGCTCTACCTGTTTAGGTAACACTGTGGATGGGTGGAAAGGCAGAGAACAGAAGTTGTGGGTTCTGGTTCCCTTTATTGGAGAGCTGCCATGGCACACTTCCCTCACAGTTGTGGGGAGAAGGAGTGAAATAGTGGAGAAGCATGGTCTTTCCTCACACCGGCACTACATGTGAGGTGTGTGTGTTTTGTCTGTGGTGTGTGTGTGCACGCAGTGTCACAGGATGGATCTTGGCAAGCCGCCCCCCATCTGCCCTCACCATCAATTGGCCCCTGTGGAGCTAGTTAGCAGGTGAGGAGCGGGAGCTGTTGTACATTGCAGGGGTCCAGGAAGCCACGTGAACATGTACAATCCCGTTCAGAGTGACGGCCATCATCATGGGAGCTGGCCACCATGACTGCAGTTCAGGGTGCAATCATCTTGGTGAATTTTTCTAATATGCTCGATTGTAGGTAAACACACAGTCATGTGATTCCTGAGAAGGTTTTCTAACACAAGATAGGAACATGTGGTTTTGAGGTAGGCACAGGGGTGTCTGAGGGCAGCAGGCCAGGGCAGAAGACGGGGTGTTCTAAAAAAAAAAAAAAAGGGGGGGGGGGCATTTCACAGGTTCCACTGCTTCCATACTAGGTGCTCAGTGATGGTTGGCTGCTGGAGACCGGGAGGACACCACAGCTGGCCATCATGGACCCAGAATGCAGGAGGTGGATGGAGCTGAATCTCCCGTCCTCTGCCACCCACCAGGCAGGGCAGTGTGGGATGTGGCAGGAGGTGGGACCAGCCTGGAGGCTGATTCTTTTTCTTGTCCCCCACTGAATTCTATGGCTCTAAGTCCCCCCCCCCCTTAGCAGTTATGCACCATTCCCTGCCCTGCCCCCTGCTGCCCACCATTGGGACCATCTGTCGCCCTGTCCCATAGCTCTCAGCACAAGCTCCTGAGCCTTTGTTGTGTCTTGCTAGCTTCCTCTCTGGTGGTGATGCTGGTCTGTGTTGATGAGCTGCTGTGGGTGTCCCTTCCTAGGCATCTTAGACTTTCATTGCTAAGGGCTTTGGGAAGGAGGCAATGAGTATTTTTCCAATCCTTAAGTTTTCTTAGTTCTACATAAGCAAGCCAGTCATTGTTGCGGGTTTTCTAACTGCGGGGGTTAGAATTTATTGTTGCATTAAAGACTTTCAAATGTTCATGTTTATTCTCGTTCTGTTCTCCTGGAAGCCCTCTGCATGAGATCCTTATGAGTAAATAGACACAGAGGGTCAGCTTTCCATGATAACATTCTGCTAGAATGGACAGAGCTTTCTGAGTTGTGTATAAAAACAGTTCACTAGACAGTTCCTAATTCATTCACAAGTTTGGACTTATTTTTTATAAAGTCATATAATAATACCATTTTTTAGTGAGGGGCAGTGGTCTAAGAAGGTTCTAAGTAACTGAACACCAGATTTTAATTTTTTTAATTTTTTGTTTATTTTTGTTTTGGCAGACTGGGGTTTGAACTCATGGCCTTATGTTTGCTACACAAATGTGTTAAGGCTTGAGCCACACTTGCAGCCCTACATGCTTTAGTTCCTTTCAAACACAGTCTGCTTCTGCCCAGAGCTGGCCTTGGAGGGTGATTCTCTTATTTTTACCATATAACTAGGATTGCAGACATGCAATTCTTCAGGATATGGTTTTGCTATATTTGTGTGTGTAGGCTGGCGTTTAACCATGATCCTCCCATCTCTGACTTCTAGATCACTAGGATTACAGGCATGTGTCACCACTACCAGCCCCTGATTCTTATTTCTTACATTTCCTCCTTCTGAATTCATATATGACAGCGGTTACATATGCCAACCTCTGCAGTTGCCATTTCTTTGACCAGATTTTTTACCAAGTTCTCCAATCCATTCAGGCTTTAGCAATTTCCTGTATCAAAGTTAGCTTTTCTGTTGTTACTTTATAGATTTTTTTGGATGATAGAGGAGAGAGGCTCAGGACTGATGAAATAAAATACAATTATAATATTTAAGAAGCAATTTTCAATGCCTTATTCACTAGAAAAACTTCGCTGATTTCAGCACCACTTCCAAATAACCATTAAATTTAAACCATGTCATGTTCACAGACACTCACATTTTTATCATCTCGGAAGACAGGGCAGTAACCCATTCCTGTCCCCAAGCCATATGGAAAAACAAAATGACATCCTAAAAGCAAAATATCAATCGCCATTGTGAACCGTTCAACTCCGCAGTCCTTATTGACTCCCCATCACCTCTTGATCCACTTGTCTGAATGGCTTCAGTTAAGAATACTTTTCTTGTGAATGACACAAGTGTTGTGAGTCAGAGTGCCACACTACAGGACTGAGCTTCCTTGTGGCTACACCTGTCCTTCCTAGTGCATACTCCTGCTGTACCACACCCAACCCCACCCGCTCAGCAACCGTGCAGGAAACAGCCTTCTCTGCTGCCAGCTTTCTCCTCTCCTGCTTTGGTCTCTAGAGAACACCGTCTGCCAGGCCCCAGGCCTTACCTGGTCTCTCTGTCTTTGGGGATTGTAGCAGTGCTGTAGGCATACACTTGCTTCTCAACGAGAGGAGGCCCGAGGTCCACAATGCCGGATAATCCTGGCGTGTTCCGTGGCTTTTCAATGTACACCAAGGTGCCTGGCTCCTTTTTAAAAGACTGGCGACTGGGCGAGGCCCGGTCGGGTGCATTGTTGTGAGGGTGCATGTCTATCATTCTCAGGTCACCGACTCGGTGAGGAGAGGCAGGGGGTGTTTTGGAGCCCAGGGTCGGCAAATGGCTGTCGGGATATTTCCTGGATTTCTGTCTGTACAGTGACTGCTCCATGTGCATCTCTGCTTGCAAGGCGGGGTTACAGTACGCACTGGCCGACCGAATCGCCGTGCGGTGATAGGCAATGATATGGTCGGGGACATCCAGGGGGTGCCCGCCGTGCGACGAGGCTATGCTCATCCGTCCCTCGTGGTACAGGTAAGGATCCGCGTAGAAGCTCTCGTTCCTGTACAGAGCCATGTTTTTGCCGCTCAGGTCCTCATCAGGCTTGACGTCTCTCCTTTCCAAAATGGCGCTGGGGCTTGGCGAGATGGATCTGGAGACTGGCAGGCTGGACAGTCTGTCTCTGGGGATGGTGGCATTTCCAGGAATAACCATGGGGCGTGTGCCCCCGTAAGGAATTCTGGATGGGGAGGGGGGCATGGAATGGGGCGCAGGCGTGGATGGTGGGGAATTGGGAATTGCATGGGCTGGGTGAGCTGTGGATCCAGGCCGAGAGGTACCGGGGCCATCTCCTCTTGCATACACAAGTTCCCTCTGCATCTGGAAATAAAGCAAGGAATTAGAAAGCTGGCTTCGATGTTCACGTTTTTTAGAGAAATCACAGTGTGAATGTGGTTTTCTTGATGTGCAGTCAAAAGAATGTCCCTCTCCTGCAAGATACCTGTACCCTAATTCCTGAAACCTGTGAATGTGGTCCCTTAGAGATACCTTGTCGATATGGAATATTGGCTGATTCAATCAATCACAAGTGTGACTGATTGGGGGGGGGAAGGTAGGAGGGTCAAGGTCAAGAGTGATCTACAATGACAGTCCTTCTACCTAGAGAGAAGAGAGGGAGGAAGGGAGAAACAAAGGAAAAGAGTGAGGAAGGAAGGAGAGAAGGGAAGAATGAGAGGGAGGGAGAGAATAGGAAGGAGGGGAGGGAGAAGGAAGGAGAGAAAAGAAGGGAAAGAAGAGAGAGAAATTAGAAAATGCTATGCTGTTGACTTTGAAGTTGAAAGTAGAAATCAGAAGACAAGAAAGAATATAGGCAGCTTCTAGAAGATGCGAAAGTTACATAAAGGGAGTTTTTCTTGACTCTCCAAAAAAAAGTAAGGCCCAGCTGACAAGTTGATTGGCATTGGCCCATGGAATTAATTTTGTGATTCTGATCTCTATATTTGTGTTGTTTTAGGCCACTCTTGTTCTTTTGCAGTGCTGGAGTTCAAATGCAGGGCTTCACACATATTAGCAAGTGCTCTGCCACTGAGCTTTATCCCCAGCCCTAAGTCATTAAGGAATTTGTTACAGCAACCACAGAAAATGAACACACCGGATGGACGCAGAGCTCAGCGCTGTGGGACTGAGGATGAAATGGCACACTGGTTTACATTTGGAACTCACAGCTTCTTAAGACACTTAACACATGTGGGTCTAATGTATATCAACAGTACTAAAATGGTGCTTTCTGATTTTCTTCACAAGCCAATCTAATGCAGGGACAGGACTGAAGAAGCAAGGGGTGGGCATGAATCGTATGGACAGAGCTCCATCTCTCACCAACTCTTTTCTGGGGCCTATAGCACTGAGAAACTGGGAGGGGAGTAATGGTCCAGAAAAAAATTGTAGGAATCATAGTGAGGAAGGCAGTAGGGGAGAGGAAGGAGACCCCAAGCATGGTCCAAAGGACACTCTGGGATGCCATGCGCTCACAGGGCTTACAGGAGCATATCACCATAGGCTGGAGCTTCATGGCCACAAGGCCTAAACTTCTGGACAGTTCAAAGGTGAGGATTTGCCAGGCCCCAGTGGCTCACACCTATAATCTTAGCTACTCAGGAGGCTGAGATCTGAGGATCACCGTTTGAAGCCAGCCAGTGCAGGAAAGTCTGTGAGGCTCTTCTTCCAATTAACCAACAAAAAGCCAAATGTGGAGCTGTTGTTCAAGTGGCAGAATGCCACCCTTGAGTGAAAGAGCTAAGGGACAGTGCCCAGGTCCTGAGTTCAAACCCCAGCACTGTCACCAAAAAGGAAAAAAAAAAAAAGGAAAGAAAAAAGAAAAAAAAAGTGAGGACTCCCAGTGAGTCTTTTCCTAATTCTCCGTTCGGAGAGTTAATAATGGGAGAATCAAGTTAAGAGGGAAAGAGGAGGAATGAGTTTGTAATTTGCCATTATAGCACCATGTTCAGAAAAGGGCAGACTAAAAGTGAGAAATGACTTCAGGAAATGATTATTGATGCAGCTTGGCTTTGGTTGAGACCTGAGATGGAAATGCCGGCTGAAGTTCTCCCCTTGTTTGTACACAGAGGGAAGGGAAAGGAGAAAGCAGTTATGGGGCTGTTTGTGCCCTGTGGGAGCATTTCCTGTCCTGATTCCATCTAGGAGATGCAACTGAACAAGAAGCAAGATGTGCAGCTAAAAGACTTGTGGTGTGACTGCTGAGGGAAGAGAGAAAAAGGACAGGCAACAAGAGCAGGTTGAAAAGGGAACCAAGCCCAGTGCGTTGGATATGAATGAATGGGGTCTTTCCCATAGGAATGTCCTGGCTTAGTAAGCACTTAATAAGCGCCAGGCATTGCTCCATGACAGAGTTCAGAATAAGCCCCTACTCCTTGGGGAGAGGGGAAAGGCTTTTATACGTGGTGGGATGTGGGTCTTCCTGGCTTCCTTATCTTGTCCCTGGAAGGATGTAGCAGAGTAGTGTCCTCGGCCACACAAAGGAGCTTTTCAGAGTCTGGTGGATTGTATAACACAAGTAACCAATTACATGTACAAACAAGGTACAAAGAGCAACAAAAGAAAGTCTTCTAGGTGTGGGTTTCCCAAACACCACTGAAGTAACCTCTTCACTCCCTAGGGAACCCAGAGGAAGCAGGGTCCTCAATGGTAATTAATACTGTTCAGCTCCACCTTCCTCCTCTCCCTTCCAACACTCAAGAGGTGTCTGGACTACAGGCTAGTCTGTCTTCTCTCCTCTAAATCTCACGTGTGGGACCCCTTCACCCACGGAGCTCTCTCCCAAGTCCTCACGATGGAGGATTCACACCTGGGCCCTGTTTGCATATCTGGCTGCAGGTGCTTGGAGGCTCCAGCCCACGTGATCCTCTCTCTACCCACTTGACATCCTCATGACTCTAGTGCTCCGTGACAGACCAGGGTGGCCAGTCCCAAGGCCACGGTGAGATAATACACCCGACTGAGTCTCATTGCAGAATGAAGCAACCATCTGGGAATTTTGCAGGAAGTCAGCATGGATCCTCTGTGAGTACTTCTACCTCTCTTGTCTATCATGATTTAGGATTCATTGAAAAGGTTTAGCTCAGAGTAAGCAACCCACAGCTTTCCTAGGTCATAAACTCTGTGAGGGATTGGCTAAGTCAGCAGTGGGCTGATCATGAAATCCCCCAGGCACACGGTGCCCCAGACCCTACAGTGCCATAATGAACCAAAAGTAACTTTAAGATGAACTTGTCACATCAGCTCCAACATGCCACTGTGTACAAAACATCATACAGAGCCCAAGATGAGTCACCCACAAATGGCAGGTATCATTGTCACTATTGTGCTTAATAGAGACAAAATTCCAAATGTCTAGAGCTGCTGGGATGCACAGTATTTCTAACCAGACAGTCACTGTTCTCTGTTTTTTTCTCTGTGACTGGCTTCGAATAACATTTTCTTTTTTTTTTCCTTTCATTTTGCTAGTACGAGGGGCGGGGGAAGGGGTGCCTTGTACTCTGTTTGTTCATGGCTGGTGCTCTACCACTTGAGCCACACCTCCAGCCCAACTTTTTGATGGCTGACTAGAGATGAAGGCTTGCATACGCCTGAGTAGCTACAATTACAGGCTTGAGCCACTAGCACCCAGATAGCATCTTTAGTTGGCCAATCTTGTGTCCAGTTAACACACAGCAAAAATATCTCTTTCTTGGCAAGAGCGGAAAGAGACCTCAAGACTCTAGGGAGCACAGAACTCTTGAAGGAAAATAATATGAATGAAAGGAGAATGTCAAACTCATTGTAATTAATTCAGGGAAACTGGGTATCTTTCTTTTAAAACAGCAGAGGAATATTTAAAAACAGATTTGGTTATATGAAAGGAAATAGTTTAAGAGTTAGAATTTATAACTAACTTTTAACAAAAAAAATAAAAAAATCTCATTTGAGGGATTAAAAAGCATGTGTAAAGGTGATCAGAAACATAACAATTCATTAAGAATGATGCTGCCACACTGTATTGTGCCTTCCTATGGGGAATGAGGGTGCCTGGCAAAATATCCAGTCAATACCCAGCAGAGGCACCAAACAATCAGAACGGAAGCTCAACTGGTGTGGATAGAGCCTGGCCCTTGGCATCAGCATTCTGTAGTTGCTGGTGATACCTTAGCCTTCCTTGACTGCTTTAAAATGATCTTGCTATTATCTGGAATGAATCCTCATGTTATCCACAGTGGAACCCAATACAAACATTCAATCATGGCAGAGCAGGTAATCTGAGGTTTAAGTCTCCATCAAAAAGGGAGCCTTAGAAGTTGGGCGCTTTTGTAAATTCTTATGTGGGTTTGCCAAGCTGCATGACTTCCCAAGATTGAGTTTTTAAAAGCACCCTGATAATTTCATCCTCGGCTCTAAAGAGAGCCAAAGATGAGAATGACATGTGATCCCATTATAATTTTGAAAGCTACCGCTAGAATCAACTCTTGAAATGAGGTAACTTCAGTTCATGCACCAAATGACACAGAACAACTTAAGGCAACTCTTACATGTTGGAAAGATTGGGAGATGAGAAGAGAGAATCTCTTTTCTACATCTGCAGTGTGATGTGTGGAGATCCCTTGCTATTCCGGTACAAAGTAGACTTTATTCCTCCACACAGCTTCTGTGACTGAACAGTTAAGACTTAATAATTCATCATTTTAAAAACAACCTATCAGGCTAGCATTCCTCCCATGACAATATCTTCCTAGAGTCAGATACCTAAAGTGTTTTATTCCATTTTTTCTCTTTTACATTTCTGCCTAACAAGTAAAGACATGGAATTAAATATATATTAACTGCACAAGACTCACACTCATACCTCATAGGAGAAAATTAGATTGGTCTTATAAAGTAAAACAAATCACACATACACACACACGCACATACACAAGTGTCATTCACTTCAAGACTCCACTTGAGTCTCTTATTCTCAAGCAAGTATCTCATTTAATCTTAGTAAGTTAAAAGTTTCTAGATATGTCTTTGAAGTATTTTCTTTTTCTCCAGGAAATTTCAATCTTTAGGTGCGCTTTATAGACAGAAGATCATATAAACATAAAAATAAAAGAACTTCCTACTAAAGGTGATCCAGATTCAACACAAATACTTATCGGCCTTCACCTAAGCACAGGCACAGAAAACGTCCAATGATCTGGCTGTATATGAAGCACAGTGCTCTCTGGAGGGTATCGCCTTTCCCTCTTTCTATTTCCGCCCCAATTGCTACTGTGCCTTGTGGCTGAAGTCCTTCCGGGTCTTGTAAACAAGGAGGTGTATTCCAGAGCCTCATCACCATGGCCCCG